TGAAAATTTTATGGCAACGAGTCCAAAAATTCCTCTTACATGCTCGCGGCGGCAGCGGCGGTCTGCTAAACGATCTACTAAAACTCTCAACATGGGCTTTTGAATTTTCTGACTTGGGCAACTTGATGTTTTCAGGCGGTCGCATTATCTCACCGAAGACAGTCTCATTTTAGTCGTCTGTTGTGATACCCAAGTCATGGTTCGTGGGTCTTTATCGCTCCCGGCACCTACTTTTTATAGAAAAAACGCTCCAGGTTAGAAAATTAAAGCAATACTAAATTTCTGTAATACCGGTGACAAAGCATGATCCAAGTTATGTTCTCTGCTGTTGCAACGAGTCTTTAAAACCAGTAATATTGTTTGCTTGAAAAATCCATTGAAATACTTTTCTAACAATTCAAATCAATTATTACCCCACCAAAACTGAAAATAGATTGTACTGCAATCAAGCAATAGCTTGATTTCAATCTTCACCACCAGCGTACCGCATTTCAACACTTAATTGTCAACACGATTCATCAGACTTGATGATTTAGTTAATAAATTTTAGTTAAATGATCTACATTTCCTTTGCTCAGGGTATTGCATTAAAAGATGCGGGCTATTCCAAGCTACAATTCAAAGAATGTATTAAGTACGAGTAAGATTAGCTCCGCCTCTCCTTGTTTTGCGACAAATGATGGGTCACCGGCAAAGTCGGATTCAAAAATTAGACTGCCATATATATAGCTAGTGCGAATATAGCATATGTAGAGAGGGGTGGGGGTCCGGTGTCGCTGCGTTGTTGCTATTGTGTGGGGTAGTGTTCTGCTTGTGTTCTGTGCATTCTGTGTGTTCAGAGATTTATGTATATTTACCATGTACCGTTCAGAAATCGGAAGAACTTGAAGTAAATTTTTTTTATAGTTCGCTGGCTAAAGAGAGCCGTAGGGCAAGCCACAGAGAAGTCTTTAGCCAACAATTAGAAAAGCTAAAGAGCGCTATGCCTGGATAGTGATAGGGCCATAGATAAAGCTAAAGAGGCCCATAAAGGCGACTATAAAAGATGCTAAAGGCAGCTATAGAAAACTCTCTAGCTAATTGGGCCAAATACCTAAAGCCGACCATACAAAGAATTTTCTATAGCCCACCATAGGACATTTTTGTATGGGAGTGGTCGATGATCCGTGAAGTTATTGGGTAAGCGCGGTGGAAGTTTTTAAAACCATCCAACACTATACGCGTAGCAACTGTGTACTACCAAAGTGTGATTTCGCGGAAAGCGAGTGATGTTTGAAAACAAGTATTTCAAGCAGACGACACGAAAATTCTCCCTTCGTCGCGCCCTTCATGGCGAGATGCCAGGGCTGCCCTCTTCGCCCTTTTCGCGCGGCATGGAAGACGGGAAGCCCCGACTGCCATCTCCTCGCGCCAAATGGGAAGGGAAGAAAAGTTTTTTTCTTATTTTTTTTTTTATTCTTCGCGCGCGTGGCAACCTACGAGGACGAAATCTCCTCAAAGTGTCGCCATAACGCTATCGCTTTAAAAGGAAGAACGTCAGCAGCTAATCGCACAATGCAGCTACGTGGGTTTGCTACGCTTCGATGCATGATGGAACGAGTTGATCGGATCCCGGTTTGTTCTTGCTCGTGTTTAAGACCGTACTCTGTTCTGTGAACGCAGGCGAACGTATTGCGCTCAGAATTTTCCGTGTGGTTCGGAATACATGAGGCAGATATTCATAACCAATACGGATAGTTATAAAAAAAAATAAGATCGAGCGTAATGCGGAATTTCTTTTTTGTATACCATCCGCGACGAACATAGACATTTTTGTGGTCAACATTTTAGAAGTAAATTTTATATAAATAATTATGTTTATTTATCATGGCAATTCTCATGTGATTTTCACGATGGAATTTTTACATTTACATTTAATGTAAGATTGCTTTCTCATGTAGGGTTTTTGTCGTGTCAAATGATTCCATTTACACTTGATAGAATTGTTTATGTATAATATGTTTTATGCAATGTTTTCATCATTAAACGAATAGGCATATTTGCATACAGTTATGTGTTCAATATTTTTTTCCTCGCTAATAAGAGATTTTTAGTAAAGTTCTATTTCCTAGCCGTGCGTTGGAGCCCGGCCAACATGGCGTCATTCATGTGATATCACCGTGCCAAAACCCACTGAAAGAGTAGTGACTGTGCACCGTAGAGTCGCTTATCGGGGGGAATTAGTAAATATTGCAGAAACACCAAATTACTTATGAGTCATTTGCCATCTGAAAATCATACCCCACGTTGGTTTGTACTGTTGATACGCCTTATGTTTTTGTTGCTTTTGAAAATCGACAGTCCTACTTTTTGCTAATCATTGTTTACTTTGAGTTCTCGCAAGCGCTCACGCGACTTCAAGAGGTCCATCACACCTCCTGAATGATAAAAAGTTAGTTTCGTCCTTTTTTTTCAGATGGATTTCGTTGTAGCTGTATAGTGCCATCCTGCTTAGTTCCTTTCACCACTGGAAATCCGATAGCAGTGGTGGCTGGCAGCCTGGCACAATCATGTGGCACAAAAGTGCAATTTTTGTGCAGCGTGATTTATAACGTAAATAAGGTTGCGTACCTCAAAAGTCATAGAAACGGAAATTTTGTGCACCTTCGTGCCATTTGCCACATGTCTCATGGGTCAACAGATTTGATATGTAACATGATGCACGCGTCAGCTGCAAGACCTACCGCATGCAGCATGGCGCTAGGCGTTTTGGCGGGCGTTTGGCAGTGTCCTGCGCTTGTTCAAAGACGAGGGGAATACGAGCTCTTTCAAGCAAGTCCTCCGCTCTACCTTAAACGAAAGATAAGCACAGACACACACTAAAGTCCCCCCCCCCCTAAAACCGAAAAATTCACGCCATGGAGATAGGCCTTGGAGTGCTGCTGCCGTGTTGTCGCCGGATATAGATATCGCGCTACTGCATATCCATAATTGTTAAAGCCACGTGTCAATTTCTTTTTTTATTTTAATATACAATATTGGAAACGAGCATGCAGGCGATTAACATAAAAGTATGCAAGGTTAAGAGGTCGCGTTTTTATTTGTAAAAGTTGCTTTTATTGCAGAGCCGGCAAACAAAATACTTAATTTTTTAAGCTCCGCATTGCGCCCGCAATCCTCCCTGCAAACTATTAAAGTTAAAATAAAGTGGAGCGTGTGCATAGGTATAATTCCACTCTTTACCGTGGTGGACGAATGTCACTCCGATAGCTGTTCATAATCAAAATACAGCAAAAAAAAAAAAAGAGATAAATAAAGCATCTGACATAGTATTCACAATGTTACCACTGCTGTTCATATTTTGCATAAAGGCAACTTGTCTACCTAGAGCAAAAGTCAAATTAACTGGTTAGGTTGGCGATGTTCATGCTGTATGTTATCAAACACACCTATATTTTCTACCCTTAAAAGTGACAGTGGTTCAGCCTTGTTCAAAGCATACTTTAAAAGAAAAATTAGACATTTAGTGTTTAAGCCGCGGACCAAATACCTCACCACAACAGAATAGGCAATACCACAAAAGCGAACAGTTCCGAGATAACTCAAATAGGAAAGAGAACCGAGGCCACTGCACAGTATACGGACCCCAGCACGTTGTTTATAAACAAACCATTGTTTGCACACATAGGGTGCGGGCAGTGCGCATGCGCAGAAACCAGACTCAAGGGAGGTGAAACGTCTGCACAGACACGTATCGACATCAGCGCCACCACAGCGGCATGACGTCTAGCCGCGCGCTGGTGCATGTCACGCGCTTCGAGCAAGTGGAAACCGAATCAGAGTGCACGCGCGACCCTTTTAAGCTTTTTCTAGTAAGAAATTTTTTTGTTTCTAGGAAGGCGTCATCTCCCATACCGTAATCGGCAAAAGGCAAGGCGTAAAACTCAAAAGAAACTAAAAAAAGGATACACAAAAGGAACAAAGGGCTGGAAGTGTCCTCTTATCGAGGAGTCATTACCACCAGCCTGGCAGGAACGGCGGGTGGGATACGTCGTCTACCGAGAGATCTCACACAAAGGCCCTTCGCCGTCGAGAGTCTACGCGACAACCGAAACCGCGCATCCCGAGAACCGCGGCAGCACCCCACAGACGACGAGGAGGAAGGGGGCAGATGGGGAGCCGTTCGGCAGCATGGACAGTCTCGGTTCCCCGAGAGAGACGCCGACACAGACGCCGCTCGGGCCCCCGCACAAAGCGGTCCTTTCCGAACAATTAGAGAGGCAGCGCGGGGGGTAAGAAGGGACCCAGAAAGCCAAGCCGGAGATTCCGAGAGGATGAAGCCAAAGCCGAGAAGAGACCAGGACAACCGAGAAACAGACGAGACACGGAGGCGACGTCCGCCCGCCTCGTCCCAAGAACGAAACTTTTCCCGATGCCGACAGTGCAAACAAACAGAGCCCACCTCCCCCGCTCGTGAACAGTAATGACGGTAATGCCTTTAAGGCGAATGCTTCTCAACCGCGGCAGTGTCAAGTGGCCCGTGCACGGCCGCGGCGGCCCGTCGGACCCATAGAATCGAGTCCACCGTGGGGTCCACTTCATCTTCTTTCTCCGGCCTCCCTAAGCACCTGGACACAAGCGACCCCGAGAATGGCGCCTGCTGCTCGCGGGAGAGCGAGCACACGACGCCGGCAGATTCCCCTCGCCCCGCGCCGGAGCGGCGGCGAAATCGGCGAGGAGCGCGAGCATGGAACGCTCGCGCCTCCCGCGGCGCCGGGAGGTGGCGCCAGCTGGCGGCGCCGGGTGCGCCGGGCGCGCCAGGACGCGGCGCTCCCATTGGCCGCCTTCCTGGGAGCCGCATCTCATTAGGCGTAACGCTCGCTAGGCCTAACGCCCGGCGCCGTACACCCCGCGGTGCGCAGCCCCTCGCCGTGCTCCGACGGTGACACCCTCGCCCCCTCGGCGCCCGGGCGCGCGCGATTTTCTCGCCCTCACCGCGCCGGGCGCGCGCGTCGCTCCGAGGGGTTGCTCCGGGAGCGTCGGCGGCAGTCGGCGGACGAAGCCCGCGCAGCCCGGTCGCCGCTCCCGCCTTGGTGTGTGTGCAGTCCTTCTTGACACCGCCGCGTTCCGAGAGGGACGGACCCTCCTCCCCCCGGGGCCCCCTCCCGCCAGGATGGCGCCGCCGGCCGCGCGCGGCGCCTGCTGACGCCCGCTGGACCGACGAGTGCGGCGACCGCTGCCCCCCGTTCCCCGATGCGGGTGGAGCCGCCCGACCTGCAGTCCGGGCAGTGCATGGCCTTCCAGCCGTTCCTGTTGCCCGGAGCCACGGCCAGCTCCAGCCCGCAGGCCCGGAGCCCTTCAGACTTCTCGATGCACTCTATCCTGAGCCAGCAGCCGCCGTACCTGCCGCTGGGGCTGCCGCACGCCGTGTTTCCGGGCGCGCCGCAGTTGTTTCCCAAGTTGGCCGTGCCGCCGCCGCTGCCCGGCCAGGGCCAGATCACGCCCGAGGAACTGCTCGCCGCCAGGCACCTGAGGCCACCCGGGTTTGAGCCCGAGGACGATGGTGTGCAGGACGACCCCAAAGTGAACCTTGAGGGGAAGGACCTGTGGGGGCGGTTCCACGAACTCGGCACCGAGATGATCATCACCAAGTCCGGGAGGTACGTGGAACCGTCTATACTCCCGTCAGTGCTTCGCGGCTCGTGACGGCAGTCTATTGAAGCCCTGTTGAGGACGGCTTGAAACTCTTGGCACCTTATCTGCCGCGAGTGTACATATGCGAGTGAAAGTACCCTATGGTCGCCCCTCCGTAGTTTCGGGGACGGTTCTCCAGGACCGGTATTCCCGATGTTGCGCACGATACCGGAACGAATGGTTCGTTCAAAATGAAAGCCTTTGCCACGGCGTTATCTGACAAACAAGTAATGCATTTTTGCTCGTCGTCTTTAAAAGTAACTGGTTCACGTTACATTCCGTTACTAGTTCTCAGTTTCAGTCGATTTGTTTATTTTAGCGAGAATCAAGCTGAGTGACTATGGAAGACCATGCTTCACTTCCCTTGGTTTTTCATACAGAAAAATATCGATTCTTTCATGCACATTTGCGCCTGAGCTTTTTCTCTGGCATAGCCAAAACAATCAATCAAATATTTTGTAATAAAAAAATAGGTCGAGGGACCAGTTTACATAATAACTATACCGGCCAGTTGAAGATTACTACTTTACAACTTCCCTTACGCAGGGAAAATTGCGAAAGGTGTAGCTAATTTTGTGGCTGAGGAAATCGTAACTTGTGAGTTACGCGTGCGTGCCAACATCGGTAGCTGGATGTCGGTCCCTCAGAGCTCTTCCTGGTGAATTCTGCCCAATAGGCTTATGCGGTCACAATGCCCACAAACGTTCCTTTCCAATTCACCATTTTCGGAAGTCATGGTTCCAGAGCTTTTGGTATATGAAAGCATGCTTGCTTTTCACAGACTCACGAGCGACGCTGACAGGCTTCCTAGCAAAAGCTCGGACCGGCGCTAGTGGTGTTCACGCGCGAACCGCTACCAAAACCTCTCTAACTGACGACATCTAGAGATAATGAAATTCCTCGAAATCAGGATTACTGTTGTTGAATATTGTTTCAGAAGCTGGTCTTAGAGCATCTTTTAGAACAGATAATTACATACTGGAAGGAAGTTACGCTCTCTAACTTGATTTTATTTTAGTTTTTCGCCGATGAAACAAGTATAAGAGAAGGCATGTGGCGCAGATGTCGATTGTTAAAATAGAAAATCCTGGTTTTCCGATTCGCAATTCAATGAATATTGATGTAACTTTGGTTACGCAAATGTATGAGCTGTCGTCCCACATTTTTACTTCATCTTGTTATCGTGCGAATTTAAAGGTTTCCGGCAATGCGCAGCACAGTATGGTACATAGGTATATAAACAGTATACAGAAGGTGGCCGCGTTCTGGATAGACCCGCAAAAAGGAATACTGAAGGGGATCGGGGTCGACGGTCGCCGAAAAGGAATATTTACAGAAAGAGCACGGAAGCGTCGCTCAGGAATAAGGATTAAGTTGCAGGACACCAAGCTTCATACTCGCCATGTATTTCCGAATCACAAAGAGTGTAAAACTGTCCAATCAGCAGTATACCAAGCTAAGTTGTTGTTAGACTGGGAGACTCGCAACATCCACTGTATCGCCATTAGGTTCACTCAAAGAACCTTACTAAAGCGAAAAGAAGGATTCTAGTGAACCTATCGTTTTGCTAACAGAAATTCAGTGATATTGCATTCAGCGTTTTGTCGGTGATAGTTGCTGGGAAACTGGATAAAACCGCCGCACATTGATTTGCGGATGTTGAACTTATTGTTTTGTCTTGTCCAACAATAAGGCTCCGACATTTTGTGAAACGTTACAAACTTCTAAAAAAAAAATACCGCTTTAACATTTGTACGAAGTTTTCAAAAACCAGGGGCAAATGTGTCTTCTGTAATAACAAATTTAGGTATGTACGAGGCTTCCCGTTATCCATATTGCACCATATACAATATATACATGCTGATATTTGCAATTTGAAAACATTCAGCACTTGAAGCGCGTGCTCCTATTTATGCGCGGCAATATTATTTAATACATTCCTAGGGAATGAACTTTTAATGATAAGAAAATTGATACGTGATCGACGTGAGCGGCGAGTGTGCCAGTTGAAGGCACATTTTCGCATTCGTATACATTTGAGGTCCCCAGTAGCGATGTGATTTCATATGTGCTGATATTCGTGGAGCAGCGGATGTTACAATAGCGTCACCAAAACGACACTTCGGGACACTCTTTTGGTAGTATTCACTAGATGAAAGCTAGTAACTACTGGTCACGTATGTTGTTAGGTGCCTAGTTAGCGTAGGTATAGTAGCGGTCAAGCTAGTAACGGTTACTAGGCAGGAAACTAGTGACGGTTGCTAACCAACCTAGTATATTTTGCTACCCTTAGCTAGTAAATGGCAATAACCCTCACAAGTCCTAGTAACCGCCACCCGAACCCAGGTGGCGCTAGTCAACCTCAAATTCAAAATTGGTAAAATAAATTGTTATCGCTGGGATATTCTTTTTCACGCTACTTATATGCACATTTGCACACCTACTATACATTTAAGACGCACAAGGAATTAGAACACAGATGACACACACACTCAACACACATGCGACGACACGCTAACCGCATTGCTGCCCATGCGTCGTCTTTGATAAAGAATTCGGTTATTCAGTGACCACATGGTCCGTGAACGATGTTACAAATATGGTGCTGCTTTCGCACAAATATTGTTCTCCATTATTGTTGCTAAACATTCCAAGAAATGTATCTCTTACTAAGAAGTAACGGTACACGCAGTGATTATTTCCCACAGTCTATAAAACAGCGTCCCCATAGGGTCCCAGCAGCCATCGCTTCCCCGTATAGCAGCTGCACTTGATATCTGTCGCGCGTTCGAGGTAATAAATAGCTAGTATAAAGGTGGCAACTGCTGCACTTACTAACTTTCTACTACCTATCGCGCGTTTGAGGTAGTGCATAGTTAGCAAAAATCCAGTAACGATAAAAAAAGGCAGTAACTGCTGCAGTTCCTAACTTTTTTACTAGATTATTTTGTAAGAGTGACTGCTCACTCTTCATTCTAAAGACCCGTTCACACACCCTTGCGTTTGACTACAACCGAGTGAGACAAGACCGGTTTTTAGGCCTCTTGTGATGGCTTACGACCGCTCCGCAGCGGCGCACCCGGTTCAAGAAAGCTCAAAAACAGGTCTTGTCTCAGTCGGTCGTACTCGGTGACAAGTGGGTGAGCGGGCCTTAACTCACCCATTTGCGGCATCAATCGCCGGAACTTTTGGGTTTTCTGGAAAGGATATTTCTCCAGGTTGTCTATGACCACCTGCAAATCGTTCAAAGCCGTTTCGCCTTCCGCAGTTCAACGATTTTCAAAGTTAGAGATAAAAGGCGCTAAATTAAGTGTGAATATCTCTAAATCGCTTACAAAGTTCCTGTTGTTTCATTTTGTTGTGTTTTATTTGGCGTAGTGAAAATGCGTTCACCAGAAATATATATATATATATAGATATATAAAGTGCGATTGTTCACAGCAAGCCTCGAAACAAAATAGTGGAAAGTGAAGGCGATATTTGGGGATTTGCCTTTCTCAGCCAACTTATTAGGCACCCTTTGGGCCGTGAAAGAATCTTCAGAATTTTTCTTTTAGGTGAACTTCCGCTGTTGAAAGCAGCGTTCGTACGAATAAACAAGAAAATGACCGTTCGCTGTACCTATATGATGTAGTGTTGCGCGGGTTTGACACCTTCTCTATGCGCATACTGTATACGTTCGTGTTTTATATTTTATTTGCTTCATGCTCGTGTAATGCCACGCCAAAAGGGGTATTCCATTCAAGGATATGCTCTTGCAGTCCTGTTTTATCGCATTTGTGACAAGTTTTTATCACTCTATAAACGTTGGGTGTCTGCCACAACAGCACAGCTGGCAGATTGTGGCTGTCGTTCTACATGGATGCGACTGGAGCGCATCAACTGGAGAAGAGACCAATCAGCTAGGCGCACCCAATCTTCCTTTTTTTGTGCTGCGTTCATATTTTAACATGAATGCGATCGCACACTCTAAGAAATGCCTGCGCGTCTACTAACCCTCAAAACAGTCGAAGAGCCAATCTCTGTGATCTACGAAATCAGCTCAGCGAATGATGAGGCGGAACATCTGTCTAGACCTCAAAATGAAGTCTGCGCTGTGGCATTACGCAATGCAAGCATGACGCTTTGCATTGCAGAATGCCACAGCGAAGACTGCATTTTTATCGAATCGAATCATTGACGATTATGATTGGGTTGAAGAGAGAGAGGAATGGGGTGCGCGTGATTGGTTTCCATCGATTGGGTGCCCACGGTTCGCATCCATGTAAACTCAGAAATGGTCGGCAAACCTGGACTCGAAGTGCTACCGTCGCGTCCTTGTACAGTAAGCGGTTAGTTTCAAACCTGCCGCATTCATTGGAGACCATGAGTGCGTTGAAGAGGTAGTCGGCGATTTTTTGAGCTACCTCATCTAAGTATATCGTTTGGATCCCCGGCCTTCGCCCTTTCCGGTATGCTATTTGGTATAGCGAAATTCATAATAGTTATTGTTAAATCGGCAAAAGAAAATATTGTTAAAAACCAACAGTCAGATATACGCGCACTTTTCAGTGCCGTGGCGTCAGTGGCAGGCAGGCTTGCCAATGAAGCAAGCAGTGAAAAAAAAAAAAAAAAAAAAAAAAAGACTATGCCAAGAATTTGTTCCGGGGTGGTGCACGGGTATTCGTGCAACCTCGCAAAGATTTTTTTTTTTTTTTTTTTTACACCATAAAACTGCTTGGAATCAGTGGGGAACAAAGTCTACAGTCCAAAAAGTGAACCCCTGCCTTCACTGGTGACTCTTTTTTGTTGTTGTCAGGAGAGACTTTCAGTTTAAAAAAAAAACAAAAAAAAAAAAAAGCACGGGGAGGACCAAAATTGTAAATTCAATAACTCCGCGAAAAAAAAACATCTTTTTTAACCTAATATTTGAGATATTATTTCATCGATGTTTGTTGGTGTGTTTAGAAAATATTCAGGCAAATCG